GCCTATGAAAACCAAAGAGAGAGAGAGAGAGAGAGCAGTATGGATGAAGGAAAACAAATGATAAAATGATAAAAATATAAAAAATAATAATGAGGATAAGATTCAAAACGATAAAATTGTTTTGGTTTGGTATAGGAATATAAGCATCATCATCATATGATATTTATACAAGTATAGTAAAATATTCGTTATATGTGTTGGCATGTTATAAAGTTTTTTTTGTTCCAAAAATATTTCCAAAAAAAAAACTAAAACTAAACTAAAATGAATCCAAGTATCAGTATAACACCAAAATCCATTGCTTGCATTCTTCTTCTGCTTTTTTTCTGTTCTGAACACAAGATGCTATTCATCTATTCAACAAACAAACAACCAAATGGAACTTGGAAAAACTTTGAAGAATCAGAATTTTTTTTTGTTTTTGATTCAACTCAATGGAATATTTTATATATACATCTCTGTCAGGCTTTTACTATTATAATGATAATGCTATGTTATTGGATCGGAGGCAGAAAAAAAAGAATACGATGCTAAAAGGAATAGTGAAGAAAAAAATGAAATAGAACATGTTTTCATCAGTATGTATAGTAGAATTTAGTAAGCGTATTTTTCGGTATAGCAGTAGCAGAACAAAAGCAACAAAAATTGTCCCCAGAATCCAATATACGCGCGGATGCACATTGTATACACAGCCTGATTCTTTTCATTTTTTTTTTGTTCAACTACTGTGTAAGTTTATAGTAGCATCCCAAAATTTTTTTGTTTGTTAAGAATATTCTGTGCATGTGTGTGTGTATTGGTATGTTTTAACCAAAATTCCTGGTTTTCACTTGAAAAAAATACGTTGAAACTTTGAAACGCACAGACGCAAAAATAAAATAAAAACATTCTGGAAAAAAAGTATTTGTCGTCTTCTTCTTTTTGGAATTTATCATCATCATTCCATTCTCATTCATGATGATTACATACAACAAAGAATTTGACATATGATGAGTGTATTGTTTTTTTTATTGGATTTTTGAAGAGAAAAAAATTCATCAACGTATTAATCAAAAACGGATTCAAAACAAAAACAACAACAGAATGAAAAAAAAACTGTCCTATGTTACTTTATTTTGATTAAGTTGTTAAAATCATTATTTTTTCTATTTGTTTTTTCTTTCTAATTTCTTTTGCTCATGTGTGTTGTGAATTGAAAAATTATCATTATCATCATCATCATCATCATCATTTTGTATGACCGGTATCCATAATTGAATTGCATTTCAAACATGGATCACAATAATCATTAAAATGATTGATTATTGAATCTTATTTGATGGAAAAAAATAAAAAATAAATTATGATCTGAATACAGTGAATTGAATCACCACATCATCAAATGATTTTGTGAATTTTTCATTCCCATTTTTTTTATTCATTTTCCATTTTATTCCATTAAGCTTATTCTATTTTATATATAGCCAAATTTTTGTTTGTGTGTTTCAAAAGCTTTTTTCCTGGTTTTAAATAAAGTGTTTTTTGTTTTGTTTTGTTGTTTTTGGTTTTTTTTGTGTGTGTGTGTGTGTTTGAAAAATAAAAAAAAAAATAAATGAAAAGTTTTTTTGTTCACCGAATTTAATGAAATATAATGATGATAATTTTGACAAAACAGAAAAAAAAAAAGTTTCATCGATAAAATGATGATGATGTGACATAAATTCCAAATATAAACGACTACACGATAGAAAACCAGAATCGTTATTCGTTGATCGAATTGTTCATTCATTCATTCAGTCCATTCACAATCATTTGTTTGGTATGGTATGCTTTTCTTCTTCTTCTTCTCATTAATTTAATTTAATTTAAATAAAAATTTTTTTTTGTTGTAAACTTAACAGATGAATTTTTTTACTAATGAGTACGTGTTTGTTGTAAGTTTAAATGTCTGGATACGTTTGATGATGATGAAGAATTTTTCTTTCAAAAAAAAAAAGGAAATGAAAAAACTTTTCATTTATTTATGATGATTATTGTACAAATACAATTTATATTTATGATAAGTTGTTCTACCTAATTTGTTATAATTTATTGAATTCTTGATTTTTTTTCCTATGATCATTATCATCATTATCATTGATTACTAATGATGATATTGACATTTTTGTTGTTCGATTGTTAATAATAATGATGATGATTATTATAGTCAATAATAATGGCTAGACATCATCAATTTTCATGAGAAAGTTGTTGTTGTTGTTGTTGTTTCTCATCAAAAATGTTGCTATTTGATGGAACAAATGGATGATTATTATTAGTTAATGACAATCATAATAATTTACTGTTTTCTTTTTTCGTATAAAAAGAATGCGAGAATTTTCACACCATTCTTATCACTAACTAAAAACTAATAATTTGTATAATAGTGACCAAGAACAGAAGATTTTCAGTGCATTCATTTTCAATTCAAGATTTTTTATTTTTTGCTCATCCAAATTAGCCTGTGGCCATATGTTCATTCATTCATTCATTCTTTTTTTTGAAAGGTTTTGTTTGCTTAAAACAAACATTTCGTTTATTCGTTTGATTGAACTATTAGAGAAATGGATAGGAATCAATCACATTTTGCAAAAAAAAATACCGTATGAATGAATAAAAGAAAGGAAATATAACCTTATTTGGAAATTTTTTTTATTTCCGGAAATTTTCGTTTTCGGCTTAAAACTGGTTTGTTTGAATTTCATTATTATTTTTTTGGAGAAATTGGTACAATTTGTTCAACAATTTCAAACATCAACAACATTATGATGATTATTTTAGTTAATGTTTCTTTTACTATAACCAAAAAAGATTAGGTGAAATAGTTTATTTTAGGTTTAGATCTCATTATTCCACTTTGTTAAAATTTGAATGTTTTTTTCAGCCCAAGTTTCAACAACAACAACAGAACATAGTCAAAATCTATGAATGAAAAAGAAAAGAAAACAAAGTGAGTGAGAAAAAAAAATTTACATAACTTGGTCAAATTGAAATTATTGTGTTCATTAAAATAAAACAGCAAAATTCTGTATCTGGATCTTCTTCATGATTCCTGTATTCATTCAGTGTTACAACAGCAAAAACAAAACAAAACAAAAAAATAAATAAATTAGATTTTTTTTCCATTCAGGCTTCAGTGAATTTTTTTTCCGTTTGTTCTTCTTTGTTATCCATTATATTTATTAAAATATGAAAAAAAAAATGAAACAGACATAACGAAAATTTGATTTAAAAAGGAATTTTTTTGTTGTATTGTTTTTGGTTTGCTTCATTCATCTAATACCAAATAATTATTTGAAGCATTTTGAATGTCAGCCAGTAGTACTATACACACAGTCTCTTCATATTCCATTTTATTTATTTATTCAACCAAATGACCAATTTTTTTTGTTTTTTCTCACTATGGAATGGATTTATTTCATTTTTTTTTATTCCAGACAATAATCATGTTAATAATAATTACATTAACTACTAATCAAATATGGATCCAATCTATTTTTTTTTTTGTTGAATACAAGGTATCCATATTAATATTTTTTGTTTGTTGTTATTGGAAAAGTGTTAATATTCTCAATACAGTTTTACCTTGTTTCGTGCTTTAACATCATAGATTTTGTTTTCAAAATTTTTTTCGGAATTCTAGAGAAAAAATCAAATAACAATCAATATATAATAGGCGTCTTTTATTTCAAAACAAAACAAAAAAAAAAACTAAGTTTACTTTGTTCAAACACACACACACTATTTTACACCATCAAAAACTATATAGGGTTATAGTTTTTAATTAAAAAAAAGTTTCTTTCGGATGAAATTAAGTTGTATAAGTGTGTAGTATGATGTTACAAAAATGTTGATGATGATTGAAAAAAAAATATCGAAGCCAATATTGAAAAGAAACGATGACTTTTTTTCCAATACAATCTCCCTTTATTTTTTTTTCTTTATTCTGTTGTTTTTATTTTTTTATTTTCACATATTGGCTTCAATATTCTATACAGAATCATTCAATATTTCAACCAACCAACCAACCATCCATCTATTTAGGCTATTAGTCATTTATAATCGTATTATTGTTTCTCTTTAGTAGAAAGAAAGAAAAAAAAATATAAAAATTTTCTTATTTCATTTTTCCCAAATAATGAAAAAAAATTGCCATCTTAATCTCCATCATCATCATCATCATTTTCCATATAAGCCTATCATCATCATCACGAGAATAATGATAATGATGATGAAAAGAATTATGAAAAAAAACCATGTTTTATCTTTCAATCAATAGAATTAATATTTAAAAAAAATTAAAATCAATTACCACAGGCCATATAATTCAGAAAAATGAAACAAAACAAAAAAATTCAAAAAAATTTTCTTTTTTTTCAAATATCAACGAACATATCCATTCATTCATTCATTCATTCAATAGTAGTGATTATGGAGCCTGAATTCCTGATTCTTTTTTCAATTTTCATTAAATAGATTTTTTTTTGTTTTGCTTCTTGATTCAATCAGGCAAAACAAACAAAACAAATAAGGGAAAAAAATTCAATCAAATAAATGTGAATTATATATCGAAAAAAAAATCTATTATACAATTATAACAATTGTAGCGAATATATCTTTTCATGTGTTTATTATCAATTTAAGATGAAACAATTCATGAATAATTTTGGAAATAATATTCACTGTTCATCCATAGATCATGGTTATTATGATTATGTGATTTACATCAATAGCAATCATCAAATGACCTAATGTAATGACTTATATATCTTTCCACTTATCGTTTTTTTTTGCTGCTTGAATTTGTATATAAAGTGACAAAATAATAATAATAATAAGCATCTTTTTATTATTGGATATTATTACTCCTCTCTCTCTCTCTCTCTCTCTCTCTTTCTCTCATAGATATTATATGATGATGATGATAAAAACAAATTCAATACAATCAATGAAAATGAAATCTAAATCTCGATCATCTTCATCATTAAAAGCAAAATCATTAATGGCAGGATTTTTTTTGTTCTATCAAGTGCTGATGATGATGGTTATTGTTGTTGTTTTATGTTTATTGTCATTTGCATACGCCACATCATCATCAACAACAACAGCAACATCATTGGTGGATGGTAATCAATTTTTTTTACCATCCCATCATTATGATTTAATACAACATTCGACAACTCCATTTACATCATCTACTGGTATGTTTTTTTTGTTGTAAATAAAAAAAAAACAAAATCCATTATTCATTATTTTCGATTTAATATAGATTTAATTATTTTTGTTTTTGTTTCGATTTGATTTTTTTTTGTTTGATAAAGATTGTGATCAAGTATTCATTAGCAAAACGCTCAATATAACAAATGGAACATATAATGGTACATTTGTTGGACCATCATTTAGGATACCGATGCCAGCAACAACTGTTTCTTCAAGTATTATTTCATCATCATCATCAAATACTAGTGATCAATCGACAGCAGTGAATCCATCATCAGATAATGAATCGAATTTAAATCGTTATACAAGACAATGTATCTATACATTTATTGCCGGACCAAATGAACGTGTACGAGTTTCATTCACTAAATTTAGTCCTCGTTCTGAATTGCCCGAGTAAGATGTGTTTATTTTATTTTATTTTTTGTACATTTTAAATAAACTTTTTATTTTGATTTGAAATAATTCAATGTTTTCTAAAGATGCCTAGATGAATATGTTGATGTTTATGCTGAATTAAAGAATCCAGATACGGATCTATTAAGTACACCATTTGGTGGTCGTTACTGTGATCTAGTCATACCACATGATCGCATTTCATTATTTCAAACAATTGTGATCAGTTTCTATACAGCTAAACTAACCGATGGTTCAATATTAAATGGTAGCGATATATTCGAGGGTACATATCAGTTTATCAATGCCGGTAGGTTTTCTGTTTTACTACATTAAAGAACATAATAAAATTTTTAAAAAATAAAATTCAAAATTATCATATTTATTTATTTATTACACAATGTATAGCACCATATGTGGCTGGAACTCCTATGCCCAATGAAATATGTAGCTATACAATCCATAGTGAAGCACGACGTGAAGGCGAATTTATGACTCCAACATATCCGGGTGTTTATCCAAAAAATATTACCTGTTATTATCTATTCAAAGGTGTTAAAGGACAACGTGTGAAATTGGAATTTATGGATTTTGATCTATTCTATGGTGGACCACAGTAAGTATTATATAATTTAATTTATTCAATTAAATTATTTTATTATTAAATTAAATCAAAAACAAAAAGTTGTCCTTATGATTATGTTAAAATATTTGATGGTGAAACAACACGATCACCATTGATTAATATATATTGTGGTCAACAACGACAATTATTTGTATTTTCATCCGGAATCAATCTATTAGTACAATTTACAACGCTCAAACGAATATCATCGGTAAATCAGAATCGTGGATTTTCCGGTTATTATGAATTTTCTGAAAAATTTGTCAATCTTGGTAAGTGTGATCACATACATACATATCCGGTTTGTGTTTTATGTTCATTATATACATTAAGATCCATTATCAATTACAACCAAACAGTTAAACAGTGATGTAACACATTGCACAACAAAATCCATTGTTGTTCAAATCACACATCATACTCCTTTCTTTTCTTTTATTTAAGTGATTTATGATTATACTATGGCGAATGGAACACATTTTTTTTGTAGGATTTTGGCTTGAATAAAACTTTGTTCATTCATGCGATTCAAATGAATAGAGAATTTGATTTATGACTTGAACTTTTATGTCTTTCCCACTGTAATCATTAACAATGATCATAATGATGATGATGGCAAAAAAAAAATACTATTAACTAACTACTGAAATTTCTATGAACAAACATTGTTGTTATTGTTATTGATTTGGAATGTTTTTTTAATTTTTCTATATTTTTTTCCATTAGGATTCATTTTAAACAATGAAAATAGTGAACATATTCGTGGAACAGAATGTGATCAGAAAATATTTAGTCGTAAAGAATCGAATGGAACAATTTATGCACCAAATTATCCATTTTTATATCATTCAAATATAATGTGCAAATATTTTCTATACGGATTACAGGATGCTCAAAATTTAGAACGTATTAATTTTCATTTTGAAATGTTGCAAATACCTACTAAAGATGTTAACGAGTATGTTTTTTTTGTATCATTCATTTTAAATCAATCAATCAATCAATTTAATATGATTGCTGATTTTGTTAACTATTTTTATTTTAGATGTACTGATGCATATGTTCGACTATATACACAGCTACAAGCTATGGATGAATTTGATTATGTTTTTTGTGGTGAAACAATACCACCACCAGTTGTATCGGATGGACCATTATTATTAGTTGTATTTAATTCTGGTTCAACTCAAGGACAAGGTTTTAAAGCACATTATTGGTTTGAAACGGATTATAAAATAATGGGAACACAAGCATCACCTGGTCAATGTCATTTTTCATATGTAAGCAGCGGTAGTAAATCCGGTGAATTTAATTCACCTCGACATCCATCCAATTATCCATCAAATACGTATTGTATATTTGAATTTTTCGGTGAACCAGATGAACAGGTCAAAGTTGTTTTCAATCAATTTAAATTCAGTGATGCTGAAGTTGCATCATTGAGTATTCCTGGTTATAATGAAAAATGTACACATGATTGGCTTGAAGTATACAGTGTTGATAGTGGAACTGGTCGTGAACAATTCTATGGACGTTATTGTGGATTTACAGCACCGGGACCAATTCTAACCGAAACCGGTGTTAGTCAAATTAAAGTGATTATGAATACCGATGAAAATGAAGTGTCCAGCGGTTTTAGCGCTACCTATAAATTTGATAGAGCTTCCGATCGTGTACAAGGTTAGTTTTTTTAAAGCTTTTTTTTCGAATCAATCATATATAATGTTTTTAATAGATTGTGGAGGAAATTTTACAAATTTGGAAAATGGTATCATTCAAACACCTAATTATCCTAATAATTATCCAGCTGCAATGCAAGTTTGCAATTGGTTTATAACAGTTCGTCCTGGATCCAAAGTTCTATTATATTTTGATGAATTTTCCGTAGAAGGTGATCCACCAAGTCGTGGTTGTCCTGGTGCTATTGTTCGTGTATGGCCAAATTTAAATCAAAAACCAATTGAATTATGTGGTGAAAAATTAAATCGACGAGATAAACAATACATTTCTGAAAATAATGTAATTCGTATCACGTAAGTACAATGATCATTAGCAAATCATAATGTTTCATAACCATTATTTGTTTTATAGATTTTTAACCGCACAAAAAGCTGTTGGAGCATTAGGATTTTCAGCCATTTGGACCGAAATAGATATGCCATCCGATAATAATAATGACGTGCGAATAAAAAATGTGACAACCTATGGTCCTTGTACGCCAACAACAAATCAACAGCAACAACATCAAGAGCTTCAACAACTAACATCACCCTCACCATTATCATCATCATCATCATTGGAAATTTCAGTCAACGCTTTGCCATATCAGTGTCAAAAACATGGTTATTGTATTTCAGGAAAACTTCATTGTAATGGCATACAAAATTGTGGTTTTGATGATGATTCCGATGAAAATGATTGTATTCATGAAGTTAAAATCAATATTGTCGAATTAGTTGGAGGTATGACCGGAATGTTGATGTTCATATTTTTTGCCGTCGGTATTATCTGTTTGACTATCATATTGATCATCAATTGGTATAGACGATCATCCGGTGATGAGAAAAATGTTAGCCATATCATTGATAAGACTTGTCAACATTATTTTGCTCATCCAACTACACCTGATTATTCTACTTATTATCAATCGGATATGACGGCAACAATGGGAATTGGTACTCCACATCGATTAATTGATGTAATGACAGTATCATCATCATCGACTACCCCTGGCGCAACTGGAACTGGTACTGGTGGTGCTGTTGCCAGTCATCATCAAACAATGAAAAATGTTCGTTGGCCATCAGTATCGAATAGTGCCGATTCTGGACATGTTACTACGGCTGTTACTGGTGAACAGTCAGATACTATGTTTATGGATACAATCAACACAACAAATACAACCACAAATGAACCGTTAGGAGCTTCAAATTCACCACCCATTCCACCACCACCACCACCTCCAATAAATCGTTCCCTATTAAATTTACGTCAATCGTCGTTGATTAATTGTAAACAATATGGAGATAACACTATATCAAATCCAACTTCAAACACACATTGTGGTACATTCAAATCAGATGCTAATCCTACTGGCCATCATCATGCTCATTATCAATCATCAACATTAGCACGTAGTAATTTTGCTTCATCAACAAATAGCAGTAATAATAATCGATCATCAATGGCTATGACGATTAATCGATCATTAAGTAGACAAACAGATTCACGTACATCAACATTTAAATCTATTGCCAATAATGCCCCATATACGCCCTATTGTACATTACCTAATGATTGCAATAGTAAACTATCAGCACAACAACAACAACACTGCCCATCACAATCACCGATAACGAATAACAATAACCATTTAATATCATCTTTACATCATCATCATCATCATCATAATACATCGTCCGGTAATGCACATCAGATTGAATCAATATTACCACCGATGGATAGTATGGATAGTGGCTGTGGAGCTGGACAATTATTATCACGAGCTACCAGAACCACCATTGATGATGATGATGTTGACGACGATGTAATGAATGATAATGATCATGATGCTAATGATAATGGTATTGATGGTGATGATGATACTATGAACAATAATATGATGCTTTTGATGGATGTTGACAATAGTAGCCTTTTGGGTAATAAACAATCAGAAGATACTATAGGGAATGATGATTATCTTTTAATGACCGATCATGAAGAACGAGCATTACTTCGATCATTAAATAATCATAATAAAAGTGACACACTAACAACCAACGGTGAAGAAAGTGATTCAATACAATTGGATCATTCAATACATGAAACAACACAACCATCAATGGTATCAAGCTTACGCAAATATCAAATATCACGTCTACAGAATACCGGTAAGATTTTATCTACGTCATCATCAGAATCAAAACAACCACAACAACAATCATCATCATCATCAACATGGCATCATAATCAATCGGATGTATTTGCCACTCCCAATACAAACTATCTACATCATCATCAACAACATGAACAACATGGCCATCATCCTCATCAACATCACCAAAATCCTCCTCATCATCATCATCATCATCATTCTTCTTTGATTGTAGATGATTAGGATTTATGTTCATTTTGTCTATTTGTTTTTTATTTTTTTTTCTTTTGTTGATAGCCATCATCAAATATAACTTGAAACACCAATTGTCCATTTTATTATCCATTCTATCCTTAACCAATTCATATTTTCCAATTTTCAATTAATAGTATAAATTATGCATATATAGCTCAAATGATGTGTATTATGTAAAAAAAAGAAAATGAAAAAAAATTTTGATATTAAGAATCATCATTATGAACCATTAAGTAATCAAACATGTTTGTTCAATTAAAAAAAAAATTTCAAGATAAAACGATCAAATTGAATTTGCTGAAAATTTCCGGAAATTAAAGCCTGCCATTCGACGAAATATATTGGCTTTATATAATCAACACATAGATTTTATTTCATTATTATAAGGCCTTTATGTTTCGTATGAATGTTTGTGCTTACATTACCGTACACATTTTTGTCATCATCGTTGTACAAATACAGGTTTTTAATTGATTAATTTGAAAAAAAAATTTGAAATAAATAATAATTTCATTCAAGTGCTGCTTTACACAAGTTTGCACCATTTAAAAATTTTTACAAAATAAGATTAAAATTTGAAAATAAAAATAAAAATAATATTCGCGAATATAAAATAATTTTATTTAATGATAAAATAAGAAAATTAATAAAATAAATAAAATAATTAATTCTATTGGTTAATATGGCATGCTTAATATATATATACAAGTTTGTAATTAATGTTACATTCAATTTACAACATGAAAAAAAGATCAAATCAAATTGAGATCAAAGTTGACTGAATATTTTCACTGTTTAGTTCGGTTACAATTAATTATTTGTTTCAACATGTAAATTATGTTTTTTCATCTTATTAATATAATAACGTTCGAGTACATTTGCGCAACGATATTCAATTGTATCAATTTCATAATAGCTACGACAATTAATAAATATACGTGTCATATCACAATTAAAAAGATGTACATTGCAATAATAACGATTTTTTAATCGTTCCATCATCATTTGTAGATTCATTGGAAAACGTACCGTTTTATAATAATTCGGTGCTTTTTGTTCATCCACTGGTTTTACAAACGGATATGCTGAATGATGCGTTTTAATCTGTTGTAGAATAACTTTAAGTGTTGGAAACAATCGTTCACTATGATCAGTAAAATCACTGTTACCGAAATCAATTTTGACATTATTTTTATTCATAGAATGAATAAATTCCAATGGTATGATACGACTTTTACTAGATTGAAAATCATAGTGAAATGAGTGATGATTTTTTTGCTGTCGACATTCGATTAGACGTTGTACAACTTTAGCCTGCATTCGCATTACCTGATTGATAGCATTATAAGATATTCGCGCATTAAGCTTACATTCCATAAGTGTAGCTCCATCATATTCTTTAATGAAACCATAGTATTGTTCTCTAGGCATTTGTATATCTTCTGTAAAGCCTTGTTTCATGAAATAACCAATGGCATTCTCATCGGCATAGGTGAGAAAATAATAAATTTCTTGATAAAGATGATAATCTTTCAGATAGTTCATCATACGTGTACCGTAACCTTTGACCTGTTCATTCGAACTTACAGCACAGAAAACGATTTCGGAAAAATTTTGAGTTTGAAATGGACGAAAAGTAATGCCACCAATCACTTTGCATCCATCTTTGATAAGCATCAATGTAATATGTCGAGGATCAAACACCAAACGAGTTATGTAATCTCGTCCCATTCGTGGCAATTGATGACTATAAACATTTTGTAATTCAATCATCCACATTTTAAATCGTTCTTCCCATATTCGCATAAAAAGATTATTTAATAATATGAATTGTACCGTTCCTTCATGTGGTGCAAGGCCAATAGCCGGATCAAAATAAGGAGTTCGACCGATTAGACTCATAACAGATGAATTCAACATGTTCGTATTAACAGAAGTCATGAATGATGTAAACATAATTCGATTAAAATCAATTTCATATGGTGATAATGATCCGTAACCATTGCCCAATCGTTTGATGAGCTGAGCACGATCAAGAAATTCTGGCAATTCATTTCGTATCATACGATCAAAAACTTGATAAACTTCCCGATGGAATTGACTACGTGGTTTTGCTTGTTCAATAAATCGAGTAAGCTGGTTACGTTTTCCTCGTAACAATGGATCATTGATTGCCATACGAAAACATTCGGGAACCATGTAGTTGTCTTCAAGGGAATAATAATAATCCATTCGATTTGGTTGCAGTCCAAATTTTTTCGGATCAAATTTATCAGTAAGAAAAATGAAGATAACTAATTCGTTACTGTCCAATTTGAATAAGATACGTTGTAGCCAATTATCAGGTATTGGATGCCGGGTGAGAACAATATCATTAGTCATATCATCATCACTTTCATTGATACGATTATGTATGTGACATAAAACATATTTTTTAACATCACAATACTGACAACTATGATTCGGTTTATTTTCATCGCATATTTTCATATATTCATTATAATATGGTCGAAGTTTTATTAATTCTCCATGAAAACGTAACAAACGACCAAGTTTTTCAGGTGGATAAATATTACCAATAATTATTGTTTCACCATTATCGAGTGTTCTACTTTCACAATATGCATCCATTAGTTGAGACTGAACCCTCAACATTAAATAATTTAATGGTGATCGATTCTGGTAATAAGTGATGGACCAATATGGCATATTTGGATTCATAAAATCTAGCTTAAATACGTCAATGAATATATCGATTTCGAGTTCCGGATCAGCATTGGAAATGGCTATACGAAAATTTTCAAATAGAATAGGCAATAAATCTCGAATGAATGTATAACCAAATATATCGGACGGTTTATATGATTTGAGACTATGTTCATGTTCAAATAGGTCAAAAGTAAAATGGTTTAAATAAGTTATCATCATCTTTCAATCTAATACAATAATTGACAAACCATTTAGCATAAGTAGGTAAAACACAGGCAGCAAACCAATGAGCAAAATGTTTAGCATATGTTCGATCATCGATTGATTGATCAATCGGATTGTTATTTTTTAGAGATTCTGGCATAGGCAATTTGAAATGATCTAAAAAATAAACAAAACGACGAAATACTCGGAACAAATTTTTAATATGATAAAGATCATATAACAATTTATCCATGGAATAAAGTAAGAAATTATTGAATGCCTTTTTGATCGATGGTTTTTCGATAAATAAACGTTTGTCGAAAAGATGAATATTGTTCACTGTACTAATCAATGAAAGGATACCGATATTATGATCTGGAAATTGTCCCAAATTGATGGCGTAATATAATTTCTCCATGGCCAACAAAAGGATTGATCGTGAATATGAATGATCATTAGACGTTAGCTCATAAAGACGGCATAATATTTCATAATCAATTAAAGCATCCAATAAAATGTTCAACTCATCATTACTTCTGGCGTTGATCCGTTTCATGCTAATCATATATTTTTCACGTGTCAATATGATCGGTGTGAGTACTATACAAATTGGAAATAAATTTAATTGATTTGAATTAAAAATCAGAAATTAAAATAAAAACATTTACCGAATTGAATACCAGCATTAAAAAGATCATCATAAGCAGTGGGAAAAACATAGATATGATATGGAGTCAGATCTTGTCCTTCTTTCATTTTGTTTTTATTGAAACTGGCCGGTTTTTCGAAAGGCATTTCATCATATGTTCGATCATCAAATGAACTGGTCGATGTTGATTGTTGATGATAATCTGAAATCGCATTATTTGTTGGAACTTTATTCATATTATGTGAAAAAAAGGCCATTATTTTGCATAATTTTTGCCTACGATTCCATGTTTGTTTGATCGATTCTCGTTGTTTATTGTGCTTCTGTAAAAATTCATCATCCCAGACCAATGTTGATAGATAATCTTGTTGGACAGACATATTGATCATATTGATTGGAGGTGGAAGAGATCGTGCTGATTCATTTGTGGAATTGTCATTGACGGTTTTTGAGTTTGATATTGCTGTATTAGTGGACATTGATGATGTCCCTGGTGATTGTGATTTTCCTTTTTTATTGGCCGACATAATTTCTTTATTCACTTGGATATTGATAACAATTCATTAGAATCATAATCAATTATTATTGTCGCATAGTTTTTGAAAACGAGTAGCATATTCTGAAAAACTTAACAAAAAAAAAGAGATACACGAGGGAATATTATTCTGTTGTATTCCGAATCGAAACCAATTTATATGTTGAAAGTAATGGTTACATTATATAAACCGTAGCTATATTTTTTCAAAAATCAAAAAACAATTCCAATTTAAATTAACATTTTACTAATTGGTTAATTAATTTTTGAAAATTTATTTTATTTTATTAACTAAATTTAATTTTTAATTTTTGTTTTTGGTTTTGTTAACGAGTTTGTTACATTAATGAAAAGTACAATGTATTTTTTGTATTTTTTTTTTTTGTTTAGTTGCCATGATGATGATGATCATTATGTTCTAGATCGGCAATAGCATCCATAACTGACATATAACAATGTCTTGGATTAAAATTTTTAAAAAAATTATTCTTTTCAAGATTATCATAAACAAATTGTGAACATGATGCCAATACCATATGAGCATCATATTTTTCAATAATATTTATTGTATCGATTAATATTTCAACACCTTTTTGATCGATATAAGTAAGTCGTGTACAATCAAAAATAATTGTTTCGATTATCGGTAATTGTGTTATCGAATCATTCAAATCTAATGCTATTTGTATACCAGATTTTTTCCTATTCAATTGATCTTGATTAATTGATACATGACGATTATTGATTGTTCGTTGATTTAATAAATAACGTCCAATTAATGAATGAAATTTTCTTCGAAATATTATTGAATTTATGAATATAAGTGGACCTTGAAATTCGAATACAACCCATTTATTAGGATTTGGTTGATTAGTAGATTCATTACTTTTATTTTGTCCAGTTATTGGATCATATACATCATAAATATGATTTATTTCTACAAATACTTCAGTTCCTTTTATCTGACGTTTTAATTTGATGATTGGTCTAAAATTATTGTGAACAAAAATATCATTATCTCGAATGGTATTAAAAACTGACAACTTACATTATAAGTCTAATGATAAGAATGATTAATGAAAATATAACTGAATAAAGTAATCCATGTCCAATACCAAATAAAAGAACTAATAAAAATGTAACAATCCATAGAATGCCATCCAATTTTGATACATGCCATGCATGTCTTATCTGTACAACTTGTTTCATATTACCCCATAATGCTACGACAATTATACAGGACAATATTGACTAATTATATCAAATATAAAAATATTAGAAATAAATAAGTCATAATAGCTTGGATTTTTTTTTACCATTGGTAATGTACGAAGATAACTGGAAAAAAATAGCAAAAACAATATAAGTAATATTGATGATACTATACTGGCCAATTGTGTACGAGCACCAACACGATTCATTACAGCGGATCGTGCTAATGAACCAGAACATGGATAGCAAAGAAAAAATGATGATAATAGATTGGCTGAACCGATTGCTATTAATTCCTGATTAGCGGATACTTCATAACCATGTTCTTTAGCAAATATTTTACCCAATGAATAAGTGGATATATACGATACAAATGTAATCAATATTGCTGTCACCCATAATTGTCCCATATATGATACATCAGGAATTTTGGGTAAACCTTGAAAACTAAAAATTTTTCAACAACAAACAAAATAAGATAAATTTTGAATAATTTTTTTTTGTTAACTTACGCTTTTGGTATGGCCGGAATGATTTTCACATGATAATTATCATTTAAATCCATCAATGATGATATTAATGTAGCAAAAATAATGGCCAATATATCGATTGGAATGACCAGATTTTTTAGTTTAAAACGTCGCATTAAATATGGTGAAATACCAAATTTAAATAAAATCAATATAGCAATACAAATGGCTGATATGATTACTGTAGTCGGATTGGCTTTCGGTATTCGTACAATAAATCGTGACCATGATTTAAGAATATCAAAAGGTAATGGTAATTCAAAATCATCACCATTAGCTTTGGAATCAACATCGATCAAAGCAAATATCTGACTGGTAAATACATGATATGAACATGCTGTGACAAATGCTGAAATTAATGTTTCAGATAATATAATTGAAAGAATGCCTAATTTTAAAAATCCCATAAGAAACTGTTGATATATCATACAGATAAATGAAATTAATCATTAATTTGAAGATCAATTAGATTATTAATCAAAACTTACCTGTATAATACCGACAAACAATGCAAGTGTAGACAATATTTCAATGGGAGTTGGTAAATCTTCTGCTATAGGTGATGGTGTTGTTGTCATTAGATGATTAATGGTCGTTCCATTTGTTGTTGATGATAATAATGATTTTGTATGAAAATTTTCTTTTAGAATAACCGATTGATGTAGATCGAAACTTTCGAGAGCATCACGACATGCAATACTGATGACAGCAAATGTACCGATGGATACTTGTCGACTTGTACCAAAAATAGCATAAATGATTACAGGAAATAATGAAACATATAAACCATTAATTGGTTCAACACCGGCTAATCGTCCATAGGCCAAACCTTGTGGAATGTGTAAGGCAAGTATTGTACAGCCGGCAATAATATCATTTAATAAATCATGACGAAAATCATAATTAGGTAACCAATGTAATATTGGTATAACAGTCTGCAACCAAGTAATAATAATTGATTTTGATTTTATTTGACTGGGTGATGTTTGTGATGACCATAATGAACGGGATACTTTACTTATTGGATCTGTAATAAATGAACAACAAGATTTTGATTCATTATTATCAATATTATTTTTTGTTGAATGATTTTGTTGATGATGATTGTATGTTGAATTTTTGCTATAAAAATCTTCTGTATAAAAAATATGTCGCCTTATATTGATTGGTTGACATTCAGAATTTGATGATATTGATGAAACAAATTCTTCAAATGCTTCATCACAATTATTATCATAATTTGATGATGATAAATTTTGATTTCCATTTACTATAAAACGATTATTTAACGGTCGTAGTGATGATGATGATGATGATGATGAGGGTGATGAGGATGTTTTCGGCAACCGTTGCGGTTCCTGTTCATCATCCATACTGAATGATTTGTTATCCATATTTGATGGATTTATTTTTCGAAAATTTTTTTTAATTAAAAAAAAATTTAACGTTTTTAACTATTTCAACAGATAAATTTGATATGATGTTAAGAGATTGAGAAGAAGAAAAAAAAAATTTTCCAACCCAGAAAAAAAATATAGAAAACTGGCCAATAAATTTTAATAAAAATTTTTTATTTTATATCACACACAAACACACACAGGTTTCGTTATCGAGATGATAATATTTTTTTTTATGATGATGATAGCTCTTTCGTTCATTTCTAAAATTAAGATGAAAAAAAATTGTCGACAAACAACCAGGTTATTTTGTACTAAGTAATGATAACAATTACAAAAAAAGAGGTATCACCAATTAGAAAAAAAAATGTGTTACATGGATTCAAATGGATTAAAAAGATCAAAAATAGATGGATGAATTTTAAATGTCAGTCAGTTGAATATCAAATTAAAAACAGCCCCAAAAATAACGAATCAAAGGGTCATCAAAGTTGTTTTGTTACAAAAAAAAGGATTAATGTCAAATAATAATTTATGATTTTTTTTTTGTTTTGTTATTTAATGATACTGATCATTCGTTAATGATGATGATAATGATCTTCAATTATAAGGTAAAATCAAAAATGAAAATAACACATTAATGATGTATAGAGAGGGCAAATAATTAGTTTTTGTTTAATCACTTTAAAGACAAAACTGGTTGGATTAACCATGAAAAAAAACAATCCATTGGATCGTTCTAATTCTGATAAGAACGAAAAAAAAATTCAATTAATCCATTATAATAATTAATGAAACAAAAAAAAAAATTTTCCAGTTGGTTTTTTTTTGTAATTATAAACGATTCAAATAAAGGATCGATTCGGAAATGCCAGTACAATTTTTATATTTATATACAAAAATCAAAAGTGAAATATCGAAATTTGAATTTTGGTCTGTACTTGATTTGAGAGATTGACAATAACATCAACAACAACAGCAACTGTTGAAAGAAATTGCAATAAATCAATCAATCAATCGATAACAGTAATCGTCTTTTTTTCTGGTATATTGAGATGGGGAGGTTTTTTTTTGAATCATAAAAACAAATCAATCCAATCCAATCAATCAATCAATCAATCAATCAATCAAATGATCAATTAATTAACTAAAAAAAATTAAATTAATTTACAAGAAATATTGTACAAAAAAAACAAGAGATAAAATGCGGCTACAACAATGACAATTTTCTTGTCATTTTCAAGTTTTCAGGGTCGGTGATTCTTAAATGAATTTAGTTTTTTTTTTTTTTGTTGAAATTATCTTGTGTACATCTTCGTCGTCGTCGTCGTTATATTCGTCATCAAATCATGTGTTTTTCTGGAGATGATTTTTTATCATCATTTTTATAAAATAGGATTTACAGTTTAAAAAAACTATTAATGTTTTTTTTATCACATCCTCCTCATCATCAGGATTTTATATTTTATTTTATTTTATTGCTATTCATGTTGTTTGGAGTGATGTGAGAGACAAAAAAAAACCCAATCGACGGAAATGATGATCATAGTGATTAGTCTATTTTCATATTTTATTTTACAGAAAAAAATGTTTGGTTGGTTGATTGGATAATTACAAAGAGACCTATATTTTCAAACTAATAATGATTTTTCATTCAATTTTTTCAATGATCTCAAAAATTATGTGTGAAACACTCAGATGAAACATATAAATTTCGGTTGGAAAAAAATCGATGCAATTTCCATTTCCATTTCGAAAATGATGGGAAATTGATTTTTGTTCAAAGATCAAAATTCATCTCAATCAGTTTTTGTCAATGCAATCGATCATCATCATTGACAAAATTTATTTCGAATGATGATAAAATCGATTTATTTTTCTTTTCAATAAATAAATAAACAAATGGGATTTTTAGTTTTATTTTTCCAATTTTTGTTCATGACGTTCTGATCTGAATATCGATTCTGATTAATTTTACTGATCAATCATGGAAATCGAATGATGATGATAGGAAATATGATAGAATTAATTGAAAAAAAATAGTAAGAAAGAAAAAACCTTTACCAAATAATATCAATATTTTATCGCAATTTTAAGGTGATTAAAATGAAAATATCAACAAAAAATGAATGAATCAATCAATCAATCAAATCAATGATCAATTGATTCATTCAAAAAAATAATATTTGTACGTTATTTTTTTTAACTTACGGTAATGAAATTTATCATCAAAATTATTATGATGATGATCACAATCATCATCAACATCATGTGTTAATGGTGACGATATACAGGTTTTAATCATTGTTCGATTTATTTTTTCTTCAAAAAAATTGAATTGATATTGACAGAAGAACAAAAAACAGTAGAATAAAAAGAGCAAAATTAACGACAAAATTATAAAAACGATTCTGTTCAATCTGATGATTTTATCTTGCTGATTGATTCACATTTGCAAACAAACATAATTGTTGTTGTTGTTGAATGGAAAATTGTTATGAAATTTTATTTTTTTTTTTGTTTTCAATGTCAAATTCTACCATATTCATATTGAATGATTTTTTTTGTTGTTGTAAATTTTTCTACCTCTAGATTTTCAACATCTCGACATGTTGTTATATTTTTTTTTTTACAATTCAATTCAATTTAAAGTATGTAATTGCAATAAAGAATGATGATCATGATCATTTACGTCATTTACAAAGATGAGAGTACCACATATTGTTATTGCCAAAAATAAATAATAAAAAAAAGATAGAAAAACAATGATGAATTGCTTTGATTCAAGGATGTTTTCAGAATTATATTTCAAAACAAAAGAAAACCAAAAAAACATTTTCCTTTTGAATTTTATATCAGAAATTTTTTTCCACAGTAGCTTTTGTTATTCTGTCGCTAAAAGAAAAAAACCGCCGAAATTTGAATTTGTCATATTTTGGGCATATTTTTTCTGTCTGTTATCATCATTGTATACTGACCAATCTTTAATTTTTAAAATGAAAAAAAATTTGTTTATATTAATGTGATGAGGCATCCAAATAATTATCAATTCAATTCAATCAATCAATTGATTTCCTTATTGTAACAATGTCACAATGAACTTCGAATGGATATGAATCAAATTAATCATTGATTTGATTATCAATTTTTTTCAAAAAAAAAACGCTTTACTTCCGCTTCCCGCTAAGTCTTTTCAAATCAAATCAAATGATATTTGAAAAAAAATTACGTTTTTATAGATTGAAAGTATACTAACAACAAAAAAAGAAAAGAAAAAATAGATTGAGATTGCGCAAAGATTGTCGTAAAATGATTTCGATATGAAAGAACACATTGCCTAAACAACTTTGTAAATTGAAGGTGTGTTACACGTTGGATACATGCTTGCAAAATATTTGATCTCATTTTTTTTGCAACAAACGTATTTTCCCATGAAAATTCTTGGTTCGTTTATCAAAACAAAATCCAAACAGATATAACATTCCAAAACAATATTTATAAACGTAAAACGATTACTAAGTTAAAAAGGGAACTGTTCCAATCTAATTTATAATTGAATTTAACAAGAGGATAAATCAAGCAAGCAAGAATGCGCGTTTATACATTGTAAATTTACGAAATTTGAGAGCGAACGCACCAAGGATGGAAGTATTATATATGAAAAATGAAAAAGAAAAAAATTGGTATACACGGACCCCTGAAAAGAAATATGATAATGATGTCTGTCGTTCTGTCTGTCTGTCCGTTCGTTCGTTCGTTCGTTCGTTCGTATCAATGAACGAACAAAACATACTCACAACGTTCGAATTGGAATACGAGTGTTATGATGATGGTAAAGACCATACAAGTTCAACGGCTACCAATAAACTCGAGTCGTTGTGCTCGAATATTTGTTTGATATCTTTATTTTGTAAATGTGCGGTATTTGTTTGTCTTGTATGTTTAATTATCAAATTAATTATTATGTAATTTTTAAAAAATTATCCAACATTATATCATAAATCATTTTTTAAAGACTATTTTTTTGTGTGTTCAAATTATTGATCAATTCTCAAGTTTTCCAAATCATATCAGTTCATCATTATTATATGATGAGCCAATCATTGGTTAATGATATCAATGATCGAACATCAAAATCATTATTGAGCGGTAATAATTGGCATCATTTACGAAATAAAAACAATTTGACCGCTTGTCAACGGTTATGCTCTAATTCCAATCCTAATGATTATCATGATGAAAAATTGAACAATATTAACTTTGATGATTATAAAAATACTATTACTCATCATTGTCATAAAAATGACTCTGATGATAATGAGGATAAAGTGGATGATGAGCTCACAACTCCCTTTGATAAAGTTCAATCATCATCATCATCAACATTACCATGCCGGTTGGCAGACTGTCACACGGCAACAACTAGCGTCACAATTCTCGCAAATAATACTCAAACGTTTTCATTACCAACAATGGTCTATACTTCGAACGATTGCGACGATTACAAAGATGAAGTTATAAACGGTAATAATGGAGTTGATTTAAATCTTCGACGAAGCGCTCGTATCAAACAATATTCAACTGGTAGAAATATGAGAAATATTCATACTGAACAAGATTTTATTTATGATTGGCCGGGGAGTGGACATCATTTTCATCATTTATCAGATCCATTGACAATCGCAACAGATAAATTTTCAAAAAATCAACGACTGATAACTAACAATCAGTTATCATCTTCATCATCATCTGAAGTTATTACACAAGCAAACATATGTAACGGCAATTATAATCAAGAAGATATACACGGAAGTGAAGATGATATAACCCAACAGTCTTCAGCTGTTATGAAATGTACTCGAAACCAAAACCGAAAAAGTCGATCTAAAATGAATGATAATAATGAAAATGGTATAGTTGATTATGATGATGATATAGAAATGGGAAAAGAAGCCAAATCTGTTGCTATGACTGCTTCGGGGAATCGGTCTGTAACTGATATAAATATCGATAAGAATGATAATGATAACAACAACAGTTATAAATCGTCAATCGTACCCGATGTTATCGATAATTTTTATGATAAAAATGGTCATATTGTTTGTAATGGCAATGATAAAGGTCCAACGACAACTAAGTTATCATCGAGTGACGATTTTGAATTGCTTAAGATGGATGAACAACTGGCAACCAATCACCTCAAATCTAAAAATGCACAAAAATCTAAACATCCAACTGGATCGATAATTTTTGATATATCGCGACCATTATTCAATTTCGAAACACAATTTGAATCAAATCAAATTCTTTTTCAAGACCTTACACGAGAAATCAAAACTGCCAAACAATTAAGTCACCATAGTAAACAAAGACATCGTAAACGCAACAAACGTCGCTCAACAGGTAATGCTAGCCAGAAACTGACATTGTTGAATCGAAAAGAAGTCTACAAATCATCCCAAAATGAAAATGACCAAAAAGATAGTCGTAAAGTGGCTAAACGTCCAGTACGAATGCAACCTCGTATGGCCGTATTCAATGTTGCACGTAATGTCAAAAACTCTAACGATGTTATTCTCAAAGATGATTCAATCAAATCTAATGAACACCCAACACAACGAGTGCAAATCAAAAAGGAAGAATCGATTGATAAAGAAGATAGATTCTTTCGTAAGATAATACGAAAATTGAATCCGAAAAATACTCAGGAACAATCGGCATCAATTAAAACGAATAGTAATTCAGATCTCAATATTGCTAATGATGAAAATTCCAACAAAGTGACCATCAATCATACACCTTCAACATTAGAACAAAAACATCCTTTGGCCAAGAAAAGTATTGTCAAACGATATATCGATCAATTATCAGCGAACGATTCAGAGACATCTAACAAATCAGATGTGATTGCTAATTCTAATTGTGATTTGGAATTCGATGACAAAAATCAATTGATTGGCAGAAATTTTTCTATATATCAAAGTATATAATTACCGTTAATGAAATCAGAATTAATTAATTTATTTTTTTTAATATAAGGGTTATTTCAATTATACAAACTATGCGAATACAATCATTTGAATAGTCCATTATATTTGACATCATCATTGTCATATATGAAACATTTTGAATGCGAATATAATGCTGCATTCGGTCCAAATGATCATAATGATGGTAATTTGAATGGTATTATTCAACAGGATAATTCCATTAGCTGCAATGATAATGGTAACGAGGATATCGATATGGATGAAAATCAACAATCGACGCCTAATCCCTTAATCACTGATATCAATGGACAACCATCAGCCAATAAAAATAAAAATATCAATGATGTTAATGCCAGTGATGATGAACAGGATGAACGGTTTGTTTGATTGGCGTCATTTTAATTGCCTTTGTTAATTGCATGAGCTCTACACAGAATCGTCTCAACTGCGTTGGTATTGGATCCGTTGGCATTGAATTCGATTATTGGCTATGATTATGCTACAATCGATTTCTTCGTATTGCGAAGACAAGGCCCAAATACGATGCTCGATTCGGATGTATTCGATGATTCCAAAATATACGGTCTGTCATCTTGCCTCTTATCAAAAATATTTTATTGTTTATTTTCTATGTTTTTAATAGTTGGTACGTCTTGTGTCCATTTTGGATCCAAATTTTCACGTATAATTAACAATCGTATCATCATACCGATAAAATTGCTATTCGAATTGGATCAAATCGATTCAAATGAATTCGTTCATTCAAGCGAAGATTATAAGTATTTTATCAATGCTGTTGTTACTTATTTTCGTTGTCATTCACAACTTAAATCACAATTCATGGCCAATTGTAGAAGATTGAATGGACAACAGGTCAGGTCTTTATCACCAAACAAGTCTAACAAAAAATCACTTCCACCCGATCAATGTCTTAAGCTCAAATCTTCAAATAATAATGCTCAAAATGATCTCAATGACAAAATGGAATTTCATTTTGGTTTTGAGTTGGAAAACATTGAAGATATTCATTATACGAAAGAATTGCCAAGCTGTCATGATAAACAGATTGTAGATAATAATAAACATCGTAAACGGCGATCACAATTAATCAAAGGTGAAGAGACACATATGCTATGGCAATCAGAGATGCCACGATTAGGTCACAAACCTCGCATTAACATTGTGACGGAATTGAACAAATGGCATCGAATAACATCTGATGATATATTCTATCGAGACAATTCTAAAGATTCACAATGTGGCTACTATGGATATAGAGATTGTAAGCGTAAACTTCGACCATCACCTCGAAAAGACGGAAATTTTAAGCATCAAATTGAGATGAATTTCATTACATTCCGTTTGCTACGTACAAATTTCAGTAACAATAGCGATGAAAATGAGTTTAGCAGCAATTTGAAAAAATTATACTGCAAAGTCGGTTCTAATAGCATTCAGCAGACCATTTCAGCTAAACAATTGATATCCATTTTCAATGACGGCCAATTCATAACCTGGAAAAAATTGGCACAAGCTCGATCTCATAATGACGATGACAATAAAATCGATAGTAAAGATTCCCAACTTAAAAATCAACGAGTGTTACGTGCAAATACACGACGGCAAGCAGCAGCAGCGGCTGTTTCTTCAGTGTCGGCACAAAACTTAACCAATAGCGATTCAGCCCAAGAAAATTCATCAATGTCAAAGCCAATCATACCGCGTTTAATTCATGAAAAAGATTCATTCAAAATTGTCTATGAATTCTCACAGATTCAATCCAATCTGATCAGTGAAGATATAAGCTGTCCATTGTGTTCACGACAATTTGTTATGCTAGCTCAATTAGCAGTTCATTTGACTACAAATCATGAACGTTTTAGATTTAGAATGACAATGGATCCTATGAATCGTTTTATATCGATACACGTTGGCCTTAATGAACAATTTGATCCCACATTTGATACTGATCCATTATTAAAAGCATTGAATTATTGTCCACGAACACATCAAACACAAAGACGACGAGTTTCACGAATGCGATGTACAAGGCCAGAACGTAGGCCGACAACCAATCATCAACCAGCTACAATGATGATAACCATTGGTCGTGACCATCGATCATTGTGCACGATGTTTACATATAATGATGAAGGACGATACTATCAGATTGATGTAAATCACCAAATCGGTTCGTATGAAGCCTTGTCCCAACGTCGAGTATTCTATCATTCGCGTACAATGTTGCCAATATTGCCCGCCGAAATGGAAGATGATAGTGAAACAGATGAAATTCAATGGCGAATGCGACAGAAACGTCATGTAAGTATCTTGTCTCTATTCAAAAATTCGTCTTTCAATTTCAATTCGTTGGCCTCAGATGATGCAAGATTTTATCGATGTTAATCCTGGTGAAAAAGCTGTGATGGGACTATGGAATCAATTTATCATGAAATACAGGTTTGTGCAAATTGTCAAAATTCATTGAATTCTTAAAGCGAAGCTTAATTATTTATATTAATGTCTTTATATCGATAATCAACAGAAATCGTTATTTTGCCGATTGCCATATGTCCGATGCTGTGAAAAATTTCATGGTGACCAACACACCAATGTTAATCAGATGTAATCTTCGTCATAATTGTATTCTTCATTTGATCAATATGTATCGCTATAAATGCATCGATCAAGATGTTGTTGATCAATCGGTTCGATATTTGAACAAAATGCAATCATATTATGAAAGATGTCAAGAGATGCTACAACGTCGTAAACATCCGTTAGATAGACTACCAGATTCTCTGATCAAAATGATGCAATATTTCCAGGTAAAGGATACACCTATCGAATATCTATCCGATATATCCGTTGATGGTGATGGCGAAAAAAATCATCAATTATATGATATCGATATTATAGCAAAATTATTTGATCAATCAGAAATTGATCAGATATTCGGTCCGGATGCTCATTTATTCTTACCAAACAAATCGAAAAATCAACGGACAATTCGAATGATAAATAATCTTGAAGCAATTGCATTATTAGCATTATTATCACTTGGTGATGGTAATAATGTTCAAAATACAATCACATTGAATCGTGGTTTTGATCAATTAAAACAACATGTACAACAAGTGAAACAATCATATAATTCAAATCGAATGGCTGAAATGTATTTAAATCAGAGTACAACAAAACTTCCATTACGACTGATTAATGATGATGATGAACCAGATGTTGTTCATACGCATTAATTTTCTTTTTTTAAACTTATTTACAAATTATACAAAAGTTTAACACAATGAAACAACGAATGGCAATACCGAAAAACAAAACTCAACAAACGAATTGAAGTATTGCATGAATATGATTATTATTTGAATTATGCACTCAACGATAATCTTTTTTTACCTAGAAATTTAATACAGACAGACAGAAACCCGAATTACAAATCAATTTCATTTAAAATAATTAATTGAAATGCTCATCATTCATTTACATTTTTTTCTTACTCTGATTACAAACCGAATTGTATTCTCACTCCCAAATCATTATTTTTTAAATTTTTTGAAAAAAAATTTATAGCTATTGATTATTTACAGACTTAATCTACTCGTTTTATAAATTTATGGTTAAAAAAGAAAAAGGTGATTAAAAAAATTTTTTTAAACATTTCAAAACGAAACAAAAATTTTTTTTATTGAATTAAATCAACAGATAAACGATGATAATAAGGTGAGGCTGTAAGTGAGAGTAAATTTATCCAAAAAAATGAAATAAGAATCTTAAATGTAAAAAGAAAAAATAATAAACTGAAAAAAAACTTTATTCAAAGAATAAACAAACAAATATATTTCGAATCTCTGTTATCGGTAAGTATTAATAACCTGGATGCCAAAAACATGAAAAAAAACCGTTCCATTTCATATGTATGTGTAAAATGTAAATGAATGAATGCATATTATGATGGATAAATGAAAGTCATAATGGTATAGTATTTTCAATTGTAACATGATAAATTTATATATGGATCGAAATAATTTGACAATTATGACATGTATAATGTGATGATTAATATTCTACATTTTGAATATTATTATGTGTATGATGACATGATTCTTGACAATACTTTTTTATCCATTAATTATCGATTCCCAGGATGTCCAAAAAAATGATGATGATGATGAATATCGATGAAAGGTTTGCAGTTCGATTTGCAATGTTTTTTTTTTCTAAATTGCGATATCGAATTACAAAATCCGTTTGCATATGAATGAATATGAACGTATGAGAGATGAGATGAGATATAATGATTTAGTTCTCACTTTCGGGTATATAACATCATCTACTCAATCAAATAATTGGAGTGAATGATGCTCATTGAAAAGATCACACTCGGGTCGCCAGGTTTGGTTTGTTTAGTTGTGGTTTTGTTGTTTCGATACTGTGATTTCGTTTTTCTGGTTTGACCAGTTAGAAAAAAAATCGTTACTGAAACGAAACATTTATCCCTGATAGGTCATAAACAACGCAAATGAATAAGTGGTTTTGGTCTTGATCATTATCTCTAAGCATTTCGTTCGCGATGTCCGTTCTGTAGCGATAACCTTGTGCCTAAATATTTAACGAATGGCACTTTCGCATAGATAGGATACCATATGATCAGTAATTTGTTCATTACGATCATGACTATTTCTACGTGCTGTTTGTATTGATGGAACACATTTTACTTTCGGTACACTTTTCTGTATGGTAGCTGTTGCCAATGATGTGTTCACAGTCGCTGCATTGAATAATTGTCCAATAGATCGTTTAATAATGCCACCGAAATTCGGTTCAGCACCACCTGATATACTGTTTGAACGACGAAATGGTGATTGTTGATAGCTAGGCGTTGATGGTTTTTCACCAAATGAATAGATGTCACTTGAAACGGTCATCGTACGTCGTCTACCGGCATATGGAACTGATTGATCATTATTATCCGAATGACCTTCAGGATATGATGATTGTCGACGATAATCAAACGGTGAATGTGACATTGTGCTACTATTACTATTCAAGCTACTACCATAGGAGAATGCACCAAAACCGCTGTCATATGAATTTTTTGGCATCTTAGTATTATTATTATTCATATCATCAACGGATTTTTTATTTGAAATCCAAATTGCTTCCGATCGTTTAATATTTTTCGATGATTCCATTGGCAAACACATTTATTTATATGATCAAAAAAATATTTGATTAAACCAAATTATATATCGAAGACTGTTAAAATGTTTAATGGAGGAAACAGAATCAATTTATTAGAATAAAAACATTATCACCTAATAATGGAGAGGGGGGACATGAAGGGATTTTATATTTATTACTTACCAGGAGATGAGGATATAAAGAATATAAAAAAAATTCAATCGGCCAGAGATTTTTTATTTTTGTATAAAAATTGTGTAAAGTGCAAGGCAAAAAAATTTTTACAAACAAATATGATTGAAACAAAAAATAACAAAATAAACAATGAGAAAAAAAAAGAGGAAATTTGAACGCAAAGAATCAAGAACAAATAGGGGACTTAATTGAAATTTATTTTTTTCAAACAAAAAAAAAATTACAAATGTATTCAAATTCTTGTTAAAGCTGTTGAAATGAATTCAGAAAAAAATTTCGGAAAAAAATATAAGGAATGCAATTTGAATCGAAATATGAGAAAAAGCTTGTTGCCTTTTTTGTCGAGCAACTTTTATAGTCGTGTGTTTTTTTTTTTAAATCAAAATTAAAATTAAAAAAAATGTGTTTATTTCGACAACACAATACAGAAGCAGTGGCTGTTCGCATTCAAACTCACACTCGTACATTAGAAAATACAAAATTAGGCAGTGGTATATAATTTGATATCAAATATCTCTCATCATCATCATCAACATCAGCAAAGTAAAATTTTGGCGAACGTGATTTTAGTAATGCGCATGTATTCTCTAAAACAAAACAAAAAAAAGTTTGTTACATTTTTTTCCATTAGATTCTATATAAAAAATGGTTAATCATTTTTTCCGAATAATTTTGAATTTGCATTTGCTGCTTTTTGTATGCGGATTTCGGCGTTATATTCAAGATGATTTTTTTTCTATTTAGAGCTTTCCCTTATCAAGGAACGCAAACGCCGTAGAATTTTTTTTTTTTTTTTTTTTTATTTTTTTTCAAAAAGGGGGGGGATCGCATTATCAATTTTTCTGGTTGTTGTTGGCAGCAAAATGAATGGGAGGTTTCNAAAAAAAGTTTGTTACATTTTTTTCCATTAGATTCTATGTAAAAAATGGTTAATCATTTTTTCCGAATAATTTTGAATTTGCATTTGCTGCTTTTTTGTATGCGGATTTCGGCGTTATATTCAAGATGATTTTTTTTCTATTTAGGGCTTTCCCTTATCAAGGAACGCAAACGCCGTAGAATTTTTTTTTTTTTTTTTTGATATTTTATCAAAAAGGAGTGTGATCGCATTATCAATTTTTCTGGTTGTTGTTGGCAGCAAAATGAATGGGAGGTTTCCGATCCTGATGGATGCACAACGCAATCCTGGTGTTCCATTTTTTTTGTTTTAATTTTTAAACCAAGTTTATACATGCTTAGTTTGCTTAGTCGCATTGATTTTTTTTTCAAAAGTTTTTTTTATTGAATTCTTGATTTCGAAAATTCTGGTTTGTCAGGAAAAAAAATATTGATATTTTTTCTACACCAAAACTCAAGTCATTAAGTTTGTTTTTCTTTCTATGGAAACCGAAAAAAATCGTCAAGATTCTAAAAAACCAACACATTTAAACAGTGGACATTTCCAACCCAGTGAAATACAAAAAAAAACAATTCAAATTTGGAAAAATATGATCAAATTTTTATGATGACAAATCAATTGATTAGGTTATACATGTATATGTATTGATTGTCTATTAAAGATAATTTTTGTATAAACAAAAAAAAATAAATAAATGAAAAACCAATTGATAATATCGTTTATCAATAATTTTATTTCTTTAATAACTGATTAATCGATTGATTATTATTGAATGCAAAAACAAAAATGTCAAAAAAACGAACAATTTGAATGAAAATCAAATTTGGTATGGAAAAAAACAATAATAATTTTTTTTTTTGAAAATCAAATCGATAACAAACAATAATGAGATTAATTTATTATCATTTTATGTTAAAGAAACAAAAAAAAAAAAAAATAATGCAATTAAATTTGATAATAGAACAACAAAACAAAAAAAAACAAAAAATATCGATCCAAAACAATTCAAAATGATTGTTTGTTTGTTTGTGTATAAGTGAGTTCGTGTGTACGGCGTGTTTCGTCGTTATTCGACATAGGTCACGTAAGCCAAAATCTTAAATGTAAATGTATNAATCGATTGATTATTATTGAATGCAAAAACAAAAATGTCAAAAAAACGAACAATTTGAATGAAAATCAATCATAGAAATTTGGTATGGAAAAAACAATAATTTTTTTTTTTTGGAAAATCAAATCGATAACAAACAAAAATGAGATTAATTTATTATCATTTTATGTTAAAAAAAAAAAAAAAAAAAAAAATAATGCAATTAAATTTGATAATAGAACAACAAAACAAAACAAAACAAAAAATATCGATCCAAAACAATTCAAAATGATTGTTTGTTTGTTTGTGTATAAGTGAGTTCGTGTGTACTGCGTGTTTCGTCGTTATTCGACATAGGTCACGTAAGCCAAAATCTTAAATGTAAATGTATACGTAAAAAAACTACAAAAAAATAGGAAGAATAAGATTTAGTCATTCAGTCAACACGTGTCAACATACTCGTATGATGATATCAACTAATTGATTATATGATTACACTTCATTTGATTGATTAAACCTTTTTCATAAAATGTTTTGTTGAAAAAAAAAATATTTAAAAAAGAAGAGGCCAAGTATGCAATCTTACTGTAATTCAATTTTGCATCTTTTTTTCTTTTTGTTTTGTTTTGGATTTACACCTGAACGACGATGGCAATACATGGACTTCAATCACTATCTTTCTTTCCATATAAAATCTATCTATCTATATGCTTAGCTTTGCGAAAATATGGAGAAAGAGAGAGAGGGAAAAAAATCCATCAAAACAACATGTGATTTCTTCTTTTAATATATATTTTTACAGTAAACTTTCTCTTTAATATCTCTCCGCAATATATATTTTCAATTTGTAATTCAATCATTATTATCATTAGAATGTAAATAGAAAAATAAATTGGAAATAGAGTCGATATTTATTTTGAATAAATATAATTTCAAGTTCATCATCATTTACATCTAATGAAGATTCAAAATGAAAAAAAATTAGCAAATCACATGATTGACAATTGATTGAAATGAAACCAGATTAGATGAATGGATTCTCCGAATCGACTATCGATAAAATGGACAACATTTTTTTGATGATGAAGAAATTTGTTTATGTTTTATTTTGGCTATCTGAAAATCGATACTATAGTGATTGATTTTAAAAACAAAAATGTCAAAATCAGAAAGAAGAGAACATATAAAAATCATTTAAGCTTATCTCTTTGTTTGTTGTTGGTTATTTTTGTCATTTATTTATGTTATATTTTATCTATAAAATATGATTCAAACAATATTGATTTGAAATTTGAATTGAAGTTTTATGATAAGATTTATTTTCTTCTTCTTTTTTCATTTCGCGTGGATTTCAATCAATCAATCAATCAATTTCTTTGGTTTTTTTTCGGCGTCTGGATTCTTTTTTTCTTTCTTTTTACTGTATTGATTTCTTCTACAAATTCACCGGGTTGTCATCTATTTGTGTTAAAAGGATTTTTTTCTGTTTTTACAAAAAAAAAACAATCGTATCATCATCATGATGAATCGATTTGGATTTTAAGCTGATAATGATGATGATGATTCGAAAAAAGTTAGGTTCAACAGACACGAGAATTGTTATCATTGTTAATTTGGATCAGTTTCCTTTTTTTCAATGATTCGGCGCATCATATGAATTTTGATTTGATCCATTTAGTATAGAGCACATACACGGAAGCCTAACGAATGAATGACATAGACAATTTTTTTTGTCTTTGGTTTCCACACACCCACATCAGCATTTTTTTGTAAATAAATTGAATATTCTAGCCTAGATTCCACGATATGGCAAGCATGCAAGAAAAAAAGCCGAATGTATATATGTAGTATGTGTTATCAATGATGTCCATATATCATTCTAAACTTCTAGGAAATTCTTTAATATTTCTTAGGGATCCAAACACATATAGACACAAACACCCTCGCAATTGAAATGGCCTATATAACTAGGGTCAATGAATCTTTTCTCATAATATCAATTCTATCTTTCTATCATATTGAATTGTCACCAATGTCATCATTAATATCATCTTTTTTGATGATGATGATGATGATGGTGTTTTATGATGCGACAAAGAAATTTGGCTTTGATCCAAATAAATTTTTCTTTTTTTTTTGGTTTTGGGTTTTGGTTATCTGAATTATCGTTTTCGTTTTATTTTATTTTATTTTGTTTTTTTTCACTTGACAAAAACAGCAACAACAACAACAACAAAAATTTCTTCTACTTGTTTTCGATAAGTTATATTTGATGAGGATAATCTCGTTTGATAATCAACAACAACAATAAACAAACAAAATACTTGATGTTTTCCTTACTAAATCTATTGTATAATATTTGTATATCGATAATTTGGAAAAAAATAAGATTATATGGATTTTTTTTTTATTATCCTGGCATAGAAAAACAAAATTGAAAAACTAATATCGTATTTTTTACTGGTTTGTTTTTGACATCCGAAATCAAAAACAGCCAAAAAAAAAAGTTGTATGTGACTTTTTATTATTATTATTTACCATTTAAACCAACAAAACAAAAATCATATGATAGCAACTAGGAATAAAATATACTTTGCGGTTTGTTGATTATGATTGTTGTCTAGTTACCAGATTATCATCGAAAAAAAACCAACTAAATCTGTTTGATCAACATTTTTAATTAATCCTATCATAGCAATTTTTTATTGGGTGCATTTATCGTTGAGGAATTACCAAACCGACCGACCGACCCAGCAACCGGATGGATAAAATGGTGGATATGGTAGATGATGCTGTTGATGATTGGCAAACTTTTTGTTTAATCAAAATGAATGGATCATTTTAATTAGCTAAAATGAAAGGAAAAAAAACAAGTTTTAACCAGAATTAACTTGATTCTTGGCATTCATTTGTCATTAATCAGGAAAACGAAAACGAAAACAAAAAATTTTCTATTATTGGCGACGAAAATTCATGAATTTCATCCAATAATGATGACGTTCATCCATATTATGTCATTTTTTTTCGAAATTCTTTTTTCCTTATGAACAATTCTGTTAATTGATTACCATCATCATGATGTTAAAAATATTCTAAAAAAACTTTCGAAATTTTAAAGAAAAAAGAGATTTCTTTGATCTTTTCGACAAAAAAATTAGAAAAAGAAATCTTAATCTTTGTATTACGTCAATAGATTTGACATGAATTATTCTTTTAAAAATAATTTCAGAAAATAATTAGATTCAAACAAATAAACTAGTTATTCTTG